CGAGGCCAGGCCTCACTCTTTAAAAAAAAAAAAGAAACCTAGTGAGGATTAAAAATAACAAACTTTTCAAAAAATTTGCAACACTGTATTAAAAAAAAACAAGAAATCTAAAATAAATTCAAAAAGAAAGGTTACGTTTGAAATCGGAGAATATTTTAAGGTTCCAGTTCCAAAATTGATCGATCTAATATTGAGCGAAAATTTTTATCTTGTAAAGTATTGAAGGATCTTCTAGCATATTATAAGCTTAATTGTGCTAATGGTATCTTAGATACTTGTTTTCATGCATGTGATATAGGTCCATTAGAATCATGACTAATTTGAATTGATCAAAATACCATCCATCCAACTTTCTTTACGTACAGCCGCTATTAAACAAAATGGTACATTGTGAATAAAGAAGTTTGTCAGTGTGAAGGAAATTATCTTTTTAAATCTTAAAGTGTAGTAACTGACGTCACGGCGACAACAATATGGTCTGCCAAAATAAATAATCGTAACATAATTTATGTATTTGTTGTCATATTTAACATTGTATTTACATGTAAGTAGTATATTTTTTTATATTGAATAGATTTATCGTTACTATATTTTAAATGTGATAATTTATTTAGATCAAATTGTTTAACTTGACTCAGTCAAATTAATTTGACCGAGTCAAAATAATAAATTTATATAAAATTAAGTTTGATTAATTGAACCGGGTCATGTTTAAAAAACAAACTTGACTTGTAACGTATATATATATGATAATTATGAACAATTATATATTACTATTTAGGACAATTATATATTACTATTTAGGACAATTATATATTACTATTTAGAACAATTATATATTACTATTTAGAACAATTATATATTACTATTTAGAACAATTATATATTACTATTTAATTAATTTATCCTAATTATGTCACATTTTAATCTAGATTATAATTAAAATTAAGGATATACCAAATATTTGGTAATGGTGCTTGCACCAACATCATTTCTAGCCAAATTTCCCAAATTCCAATTTTTCTCTATGGTAGCCAAATACGAATAATGATTATATTTTGTACTGTCAGTATGATTGGTAGGAGGACGAACAGGAGTACCAAGAAGACAGCCATAGATATGATTACTTTCACTACGGTCATCTTCATCAAAAGTAATAAATATTAAGGTATTGGTTGTAAATGCTGATTTAGTAAGTTTTGGTTCAAGCCAATTTTTTAACCAATTATTCGCAAATGCTACACCAGTGTCATGTCCATCATTATTTTGATTTGGTGTATAATAAACAAATTGTGGTACGTGATTATTGGTTATATCAGTATCAAGTCGGGTACCAGGAACTATTTTCGCACAACGAGTGGAATTATTTCTTATGGCATTCATTGAAATGAAAGGATTATGCTTTCTTGCGTATAAATGTTGGCCAGAAGGAGCAGTAGCACCAGTGTAACAGTTACCAGCTATAAAATGATATAGATAATAGGGTGAAAGTGAATAAAAATTCAAATAAATAAATAAGTAAATAAATAAACAAATGAATACAATAAATAAATACAAACAGTAAATCAAGATTTTGTGATAAACATACGATAGTCTTCCATATAAGCTTTCCAATAGATGCCTTTAGCTTCAAGAAGGTCAACTAAATTTTTTCCGGCAATGTCATGATTGGCATCATCTGTGACACCAGCAGTTGAGCCATAAATTTCAGTAATGTAATTTGGCTAAAAAACAAAAAAGTTATTTTTAAATTTTAAATTTAAAAGAAATAGAATAAAATATAAAATTTACCTGAGACGGATGTGTGATTGCAAAGAAGTTGGAAAGAAGAAGGCCATTACTACGCTGAGTTAAGTTCTTAAAATAAGGTTGTGCTAACGCTTTAGTATATCCAGTGTTTTCAAAAATGATTAAAACAATCCGGTCAAAATATGTTCCTGGAATGATAGCACCAACGGTTGGTCCAATAGAAGCAACAATTAAGAAGAGAATGACAGATGTAAAATGCTTCATATTTATTTGCGTGTAATGGATATGTGAAATGGACCACTTTTTTGAAAGTGGAATTCATCGCGTTTTTATACGTTATGGAATGTTAGTTAAAGTATTTGGTTATATTTTTCTTAATATGATATTAAGTTTTTGCTCGGAAAAAATTTGCATTGTCTCACAACTCTAGACACAATATTAAATGTGTACAAAGGATTGAACCCGTTGATTCTCACTTTCCCGAAACCCACTTTCCTGAAAAACTATTTACCCGACATCACATAGGGTTAGGGTTAGCAT